CATCAGGGGGCAGCATCCTCATGAGCAGCACTGTGGGACCGAGCACCTGGTGCCCACCTACCCGGGCATCCCTGGCACAAATCACTGCCAGCAGCACCTGCCTGGGGGCAGGGGCTGGGGACGCATCCCTCCAGCAAGTCCCTACAAAATGACCCCTATCCATCTCCAAATGCCCCCCGCCCAATTTGCAATCCGTGCCCCCAGCCATTCACCCCATGGGGCGATGGCACACGATGTCCCCGCGCTCCCACATTGGCTCTCACCTTGCGGAGCTGTTGCTGCCGAATCTTCTTCATCCCAGAATCCTGTTGCTATGCGCTCCCCGATCCGACACTTGTTCTCTCGCTCCGCAGACGGAGGTAGGGAGGGAGAAGGGGGAGCAGAGCAGGCGGGCAGAGGGAGATGCCGGGGTGGATGGATGCAGGGGGCGGGGGGGCACAGCCCGGCAGAAGGCTCTGCCTGGAGTTGGTGCTGGCTGCACGCTGAGCGGGGAGGGAGGGAGGAGACGGCTCTGGGCAGGCTGCAGGAGGGCTGTCTGTCAAACGTACCCCTGCTGGAGGGGGGGTCTGGGGCTTCGGCCCCAAGCAGGGCCGCGAGGAGGAGAGGATGCTGTTTTACATGTGCCATGAATGTGTAAGGTCTCAGACACCCTGCTGCTGGGAACAAGGGACTCTCACGTGTCCCAAGGGGTGGTGATAGCAGGGCAAGTGCGACAGCTTTCAGCAGCTTTCTGGCCAGCCCTGCGCTGATTTTCCTTCGGGCAGCACACAGCTGGAGCCCCCAGCCCAGGGCAGCCCTCAGTCCCTTTGGGCAGGTCCAGTGCCTCTCAGTGCTGGGGGCTGGAGCCATCCTGGGACAGGTCCTGCAGCACGGGTCATCTCCCTAGAATGTGAGTGTTCAAGCTGAGTGTCTGGTGGGATCCCACAGACCCAGAGCTCAGGGGATCGGGATTTTTCCCCTTTGTGCTCAGTCAAACCCCAGGTGAGGAAGCAAGAAGCTGGTCCCTGACTCTTTCTCTCCTTCTGTGGTGTGAAATGTCCCTGTTTAGGAGGACTGCAGGAGGGGATGATCTCACATGCTCTGGGGCCACGAGGAGAGCTGCTGGCTGCCTCAGGGCTATACCTTTTTCCTTCTTGTGCTTCACTTTCCCTGTGCTGTGCCCATCAGAGTGTGTGTGCCCCATTTCTTTGCAAACACGTTGTGGTACTTCAGCCTGACCCAAACGTGTCCCCAGCCACTTTAAGGCTGAGCAGATGCTGCTGGATGTATGCAGAGAGACAGAGCTAGGACTGAAGCCCTGAAACTCCCTGCTATCTAACAGGAGTCATGTTCCCACACCCCTCCAAACACTTTTGTAAAAATTCTCCCGAAGGAATCAGATTGTGAGCATGAAAATACATTTCTGCAAAACCCAGCACAGATGAAGTGCCTCTGAGTTTGCACAGTGGGTCTTTCAGAGCTAACATTTACCTGGGTTTCCCAGCGGGAAAGGAAGAAGGAGCAAAATACATCATCCAACAAACATCTCTTTTTTACATAGCTTTTGGGAAATCTCCAAGCTTTTACTTCCCTCTGGGTGATCCATTGCTTCTCCCTCTCCTGCGATGCTATGGGGAATGCTGCACTGAGCTGCATGGCGCATTGTCCCATCCTCACCCTTCCTGCTGGGGCAGGGATGCTTTGTTTGCCTATCGTGCCTATGTGATCTGAACCAGCCCATTGTTTTTTTTTCCCTTGGGATCTTCCTAGAGAGAAGCGTTTCATGGTGGGCAGCTGCTGGCAGCATGGTACAGCCCCAGCCCTGCATCACCAGCACAGGCCGAGCCCTACACAAACAGCCCAGCCCTCCACTGGGGCGGGCAGGGAGTTACCCGACATGGATGGGACCGTGCCCAGCTCCGCTCCACGGGACACAGGGAAGGCAGCAGCCGCAGCAGCGCTCCTGTTTGTCACTGCTGGGAATTGTGCCATGCCGGAGGCTGCCATGCTGTCGGCCACCTGTTGTGCGTGGCCTTATTTTGATGATTATTTCAAGATTTCTCCAAGGAGGGTGCAAGCAGGCGGTGTGAGCGCAGGGGAAGTAATGGGCAGAAAGCACAGGGGCTTGAAGAGGACAGCCCTCAGAGTCCCTCGTCCGTGCCACCCAGCGTCCCTATATGGCCATGGTGCAATTTTGGGCTGTGCAACTCAAGGGTAGGTGCCATAGCTGCTAAAATTGAGTGACTGTCACCTGCCAGGGGTGCAAATATGGGTATGGCACAGCCAGGAAGTGTGGATGCCGAAGCCAGCGGGGACACAGCGCTGCCAGAATGATGGCAGAGAGTCAGGGGAGGACATGGGAGCGGGGACACAGCAGATGCATTTCGTCAGCGGGGCTGAGGGGTGTGTGTGTGTTGGGGGAAGGGGTGCTGGGTGTGTGGGCGTATTTATGGCCTCTTCCCGCCAGCGCCTGCTCCCTGTGCACACACAGGCTGCAGCAACCCAAGGGCACAGCCCACAGCTCGCTGGACTTTTACCCCGCTGTGCAAACAGGCAGGCGCCTGATTAGGGTATCAGTTGGAATTTCATGCTGTCAACGGCACCGGGAGCTTCTCCAGGGTGTGGCAGAGCATCTTCCCTCTGTGTGGCCCTCATCTTCCTGCAGGCACCAAAGTGTCCAATGGCACACTGCTCTTTGGGCAGGAGACCCATCCACCCCAGTACCTTTCCCCTTATGGCGCCAGCTCCATTCCCATTGCCTCTTCAGCCTGTTTTAACCACCAATGCCCTGCTGTGCCATGTGCCAGACTCAGCAGGGCTCAACACTGGGCACAGCCACTCCTGTAAGGTCACGGAAAAAAACCCATTGCTCTGCCCCTCTCTCTGCCCCATCCCTCCTTTGCTCCTCTATCTCCTCTACCCAGAAGGACTTCACCCTTCAACACATCCACCTGCCCCACCTGCACATCTTTGTGTGTTTTGAGGCTGGAGGAGCTGTTTTGGGCAGGGATTTAATGGCAGCCCCAAATCTGATGTGGCTGAGATGGAGATAGGCAGTGATAAGATGGGGAAGAGGACAGCACAGGCAGTGGGGACCACCCATACCCGCTCTGTCATGACCAGGCACTGATGCCAGCTGTCCTAAGCTCTATCTCATATCCTCATTCTCTGTTTGCTCTTCTTGGACAAGGAGGATATTCAGCCCATCAACAGCCATAAAATGAGATTAGAAGAGGGCAGGCACCAATCAGCAGCAGTCACGTCGGTGGGCAGCTGGCCTTGTTCTTTGGCCTCCAGCACCAGCAAGGCCCAGCCTCACCCTTTCCCTGGTTGTCCCCGGGAAACCATCCATCCCTTAGCCATCCCCACTGTACCCAAGGGACGTGGCTGCCTCACACCACATTGCAGCCATGCTGCCCTCATGAGATGGGCACACAGCACACTGCAACCAGACTGTGGGACCAGGCTGCTGCATCCGGATACCTGTCCATGCCCTCCCTGAGGGCACTGGTTTGATCACACTTGGGGACATCGATGGGGAGAGGCAGCGACACACCCACAGCTCACAGGGCTCCTGCTCACTTTTATTTTTGACCGAAGCCTAGAAAATAAAACATTCTGCCTTCTGTACACAAGCTGTGAGCTGAAGTCCCAGGCCAACACCAGTGTCTGCCTTTGGTGTAAAGCAGCAGTGATGGCCCCAGGAAGATGTCACTGGTCTGCATGGTGGGGGATGCAGACCCTATTAAGGGGCTGTAGATGCAGTGGCTGTCAAGGAGCTGTGCAGTATTAAACCCCAAGCACTGTGAGTTCCAGGCCAGAGTGGGTTGGGAGTAGACAAGGGGCTCTGCAGGCAACAGGGATATCTCCACTTCTTGTTCCTGCTGGGGCTCAGAGTGATGGTGCTAGAAGAGGATCACCAGAGCCGCTGAACCCTCACCTTGGTCTTGGTCACAGCCCCCAGTAGGAGCCTCAAACCCTCCTGTGTCCCAGCACACCTCTGGGGTACCCAAAACTGGGCTGTAAGGTAGCTGGGCCAGTAGAGATCCCAGGATTCAGCAGGATTAAGGGGAATTTTAACTCTGATTTCCAGCAGGAAAAAAAAGCCATTGGTTACCAATGGTGCAGCACATGGAGGAGTATAAAGCAGGCAAAACCCAGAGCCTTTTTTTTTTGGAGAACACAGCACAGACCCACCCATCTCTCTCTTTGGAAGCCAACAGTCCATCATCTTGCACCAGGACATGTCCCATCACCGTGATGGTCCTGGCAGCTGGTAGTGCCTTGATGCAGCATGGAGCTGTGCAGGTTCTGCAATGTCATGGGTAAGTGAGTGGCTCTTCTGGGCAACCTGGAGTAGTCCAGTGTCCTAACTGCACATCTTATTCTTGTTCCTCCACACTGGAAAGTGGTCTCAAGGCCTCCATAGGGCGGTCCATCTGTGGGACAGATGTCTGCAGGTCTCATGATGGCCCTTTGTTGCTGCAGGGATGGAGCTGGGGATGGTGGCTGGGGGACATGGGGGACACTCATTGTCATTGTCTCAGTTTAAGGAGCCCCCATTCCCCCTCCAGTCCCAATGCTGAGGGTCCTACCCAGCTTCTGCTGTCCAACTCACTCCAGGCATGGCAGATTCCGGAGACAATCTCAACTGAGATTTGTCTGCCTTGAGTCCAGCCAAGTCTTTTCTTTATTTCAGCCTCACTAGAACTGCCCCGAAGCAGCAGGCAGCTGGATCACCAGGAAAACTGTGCAGGAAGCATCCCACCGGCTCATTCTGATGTGCCACAGAAAGGCTCCTCCACCATCACCTAAAGACTCATCCCACTGGTTTTGGGCTACCAATACCAGAGACCAGCGCATGTTTCCTACAGGAGAACAGCACTACCTAATGTATGGGCTTTGTGCAGGACAGAGCTCATCAGCCTCTTGGGAAGGCGACAGAGCCACCATGTCCCCAGGGGACGTGGTGTCTTTGGGTGCTCAGCAACAAGCTCTGCCATGTAGTGCTTATCTCTCAGTGTCTATGGCTGGCGGAGGGGGCTAAGGCATGAACTCCTCCTTGATGGTGAGCGGAGATGAGGAGACAAGGTTTGGGGCACTGCCACTGCAGAGGGTCCCCATGGGCCCTGGTGTGCCCACGGCTGGCGGGGTTGGCGTGGTGGTGCTGGTGGGCTGGCTCTGCTGCTGCAGCTTCTTTTTATTCACCTTCCTCTCCTTCGCCCTCCGGTTCTGAAACCAAATTTTCACCTGTGGAAAAACAAAGATCGCCATGCAGAAAAGGGGACGTGGACAAGGAAGAGCACCCCAGGGGCACCATGGGGGCTGGAAGCAGAATGGGAATGGCATTGCCCTCTCTCAAATCCATCTCCGGCACTCACCTGCCGTTCAGTGAGCCCCAGGGCAGCGGCCAGCTCGGCCTTACGGCGGATGGTGATGTAGCGGCTGTAATGAAATTCCTTCTCCAGCTCCAGGCGCTGGTGGTCCGTGTACACCACCCGGTACTTGTCCTTTGTCCTCGTCTTGCCTGGCAGAGAGAGCAGAGTGAGGGTGAGATAATAGGGCTGGGAGACAGGAGCATCACTGATGGCATGGAGGAGCTGCATGAGTACACAGAGAGCTCTGGAGGAGCATGGGACCAGAGAATAGGAGTTCTTGGCTCATATGGAGTTTGATACCCATCCTGAGTAGCACCAGGGTGTTTCTCCATGCTGGAAAGCACCAGGGGATAGGGGCCGTTCATAGTAGGAAGGGAAGGAGGCGTTCAGTAACATCCCAAGGTAGTGGTCTCTACATCCCATGCGCCATGATCATCACCTCAAGGAGCAGAGCTGCAGCCCAGGTGGAGGACACGCTGCCTGGACAAGCCCAGCCCAGAGGGCTGCAGGAAGCCCAGCTCTGTGCCACAGAGCCCAAACCCACAGTGCCATCAATTGAAGGCACGCAGATCAGGACAGGAAAAGAAGGAAAACCCAGGAGTGACAGCATTTTTCTGCCACCAAGAGAGGTTTTCATCATCTCCACACTGTGTTCACAAAAGAATGGTGTAGTTATTAAAGATATGGTGGGGAGAGCCCACATTAAGCACAAACGTTCCCAGTGATGGATTCAGTAGCCAGCAGTGCTTGGCCATAAACAGCCTGAATCTGCCCTTGGGTCTCCCCAAGTATGATCAGAGCTCCATTGAACTCCACATTTCACCTGAGCAAGAAGATAGCCGACACATGGTGCCAAGAATACTGCTTCCTATTAGAAAAACACAGTGAAAAATAGCATTGGGTCGCTGTGGTCCAGCCCTGCCCATGCCCCCAGCACAATGCATATTCCCATGATCTGAGGAGGTGGAGGTACAGCAAGGCTGCGCCACAGATAGGGATGAAAACTGCATCCCCCGGAACCAGGGCTCAAGATATCTTCTTTCACATATGAATTCTTTTTTTCCTTTTTCATTTGGAAGCAATACCCTTTCTGAAGAGATAATGACTGAAAAGTGATCTTATTTGCGATATTGCAATTTAAATGCCACTGCGTGGTGAAAAAAAAACAGCTGGAACGCAACGGAACTGACAGCTAATGTTAAAAAAAATTAAAGAGTAACGAAACAAGGCGGTTTGTGGATACTGCATCTGCCAGGAATTTTAGCAGGGATTATTATTTCCTGCTGCAGCCGTAAATAGATCCATCACTGCCTGTGCTTTGTTGTTCTCTTTTCGTTGCTCGTCCTTGGCAAACCCCGGCGCAGCACCGGGTGCTCATTGCAAATATCAGGGAGCAAAGACTCTGCTCGCCACCAACCCAGAGATGGAGATTTCCTCGCTTTGACTAATTGCAGTTTTCAGCGATGTTTGCTGAATTCAGGAATGTATTGTGAGCGCTTCACAAGGAGAAGAAAGGGACTTGCAAGAAATGCTATTGACAATGAATAATGCGACTACCTTGAATATCAATGCTGGGTTACACTTAACTCGCCCTCGGTGGCCCTTTTATGGCTCTGGGAAAGGAAAGAGGAAATTTGGGATGAGCCATCATGGCTCCTCATGGGGACCCCTCATACCTGCGGGTAGGACCCCAGTGCCCACAGGGATCTTGAGGAGCAGTGAGATGGGGCAATCTGGGGTTGGGGCTGTGCCAGGTCTCTGGCATGGCCCACTGCTGTTGGAAGGGCCGTGGGTGGCAGCACGGATGGGACAAGGGTCCTCCTGCTGCCAGCACCATCCAGCCCCAACACACATTCAAACTTCTTCCTTCTTGTCCCCAGAAGAAAAAAGGAACAGGTCAAGCTGCCAAACTGAGCCATCCATGGGGCCAGAAGGAAGGATTCCAGCGTTGGGATCAAGGCAGGGCCCAAAGCTTGGGGAGAGGGCATCGTTACTGCTGTTAATGTATAACCCTAATAGCACTCACCTGAGCCACGATTAGATAAGGGAATAGCTTCAATGTGCTGCACAGGCCCCAAAGGACACACTCCTGAGTGTGCGTGCACACGCACTCACAGACACATTAAGGGAGACCCGCTGCCCTGATCTGCTCCACATGGCAGTCCTGGGGTTGGGGATGGGGACAAGGATAGGGAGACAGGAGTTCCCTGCCCTTGACCACAGTACTATAACATCTCTGGGTGTCCACGTTGAGGTCATGCAGCCTGAGTGACACAGCATTATTGCTTCTCTCCCTCCAGAACAGAGGCAGAGGAGAGGAAAACCCAACCCCAGTGCTGTCTCCAGCTCTGCACCTACAGGGCTACTGTCACAAACAGGCATAGGAAGGCACCATGGGATGATGGAGGCTGTTAGGGGGCTGTAATTCACCCTCTCCAGCCCTGTCTAAAGGATGGCTTTCAACAAGACACAGACCCCCCTAAAAGAGATGGGCAGTGAAGTGGTGGGATGTTTTGAGGCTGATGCAGGGCAGCTGTAGCAAATGCTAGATCAAAACAGGCAAGAGTATAATCCTATGCTGTTCCCCAAAGGTCTCCATTTCACAGGTCAAAGCAGCTCAAAATTACCGTGGCTGCAAGTCCTGGCTCCATTCTGAGCAGCACCGCAGCCATCAGGGCTCCGATCAGGTCAGAGCACAGCAAGTGGGGCTGTGGAGCTGGAGAGATGAGAGCCGTGCCGCTGCCAGCTGCAGAGGTCCCCAGGCCTGGGGACACAGGCACATGGCAATCCGGGCGCCAGGCACTGTGCAGGGCACTTAGCATGGGAGGTGCTGGTGGGGATGGAGCTGAGGCTCTGCACGCCCTGCTGCCCAGCAGCTCTTTGCATGACCGGCATGGAAAGATTGGGCTGTCCCAAGCAGCCTGAGAGCAGTGCATGGAACACATCGAGGATGAGAGTTCTATTTCCCATTTCTTCCCAGGAAAATTCTCTATGAAAAATTTCCCCCTATCTCAGTGTAGCCTGGGCAATGATATGGGTAGGGAAACTGAGTCACAGAAGCAACACCAAATCAGAGTGGAGTCCCAGGGTCAGAGCCATGGGCAACTCAACTCCCCCTCCACCCTCTCACATCTCCCACTGCAAAAGAGAGGACAGCCAGCAGAGCAATGCTGCATGATGCAGCCCTGGGATAAGGGTTGGGGTCTGTTCCCAGCACTCAGGACCCTCCTAGCTGGGTCACCATCATCTGGCAGCCAGATGTGCTCCAGCTGTGCCTGCACAGAGAGGTCAATGCTCCCTCTGCTGAGCAGAGGGGACCACAGCCACACTGTGCTGATACTCAGTTCAGACAGCCCAAAACATGTTACTGTTCCCAAACCTTCTGGAAATAGCAGCCCCAAAGCCTGAGCACCCCACTGGACACTGAGCACACTCTGGACCCCCCAGGATCCATCTCCATTATGCTCACCACACTGTTGGAGTTTAAGCCCCAGCGCTACTCCTGCCTGCTGGGAACCAGGGGGCAGGGCTTTCACTTCCCCTTCCCATATTTTCAACAATATTTTCAGCTCTTTCCCATCCACCTCAGGAAGCGTGGTGTGATGGATGGGGTGATCAGTGTGGAATGAAGGACTGCAGCCACATGGACCCCCTTATTGTTGTCAACCAGAGGACATCCCACCTCCATGAGATCCTGCCAAGATCTTTTCCGTTGGATTTAGACAACTTCTGGGTTTCCAAAACGATGTGAGAGGATCTACCCCAGCCCATCTCTGTTTGCACTGCAGAGGGAGGGGATGCTGGCTGTGCCCCCACCCTATGGCCATGCCCAGGCTGCCCTGGCTCCTGCTCCAGATGGCACAAATTGGCACTGCTGAGATGCTGGGCTGCAGGAAGGGCTCACTGTGGCCACCACCCCCAGGCAGCCCTGCAGTCCCCAGGGCAGCTCCTCACAGAGCTGTTAGCCAACACCAAGCCAAGCCAGGGAGATCTTCCTGGTGCCAAAGATCTCAGAGGAAGCAGCAGTGCCACCCCACTGGCAATAAAACCTCATTTGGCTTTGATATGTCACACACTGGGAATGTTTCAGTTACAAAACCGCACTACAGTTCCCAGTGGTTTTATAGTCTTCTGCACGCAGAGGATCAAACTCTGCACTTCAAAATAGCCCCATGGCTTTGCTATGTGATAGCCAAGAGCAGGGCCAATATGCTGGGGGGCAAGTCCAAAAAGCATAGACCAGAACACCAGCACCCAAGGCTGAAGTGATTGGGAAGAAACAGAGCAGGCAGGGAAGAGCTGGGTCTGCAGACCTCAGACCCCCAAGGCCAGGAAGAGCAGTCTGGCCCCATCCAGCATCCCCGACCCAGACCCACTCCCCAGCCAAGGCACAGCAGCCCCAGGCTGGGTGTTGGGACAAGGGTTTCTCAGCAGAGCAGTGATTCAAGCCTTTATTTTGGCAACCAGCGCATTCCAGGGGCTGCTCCTTGGTTTTATGAGCACCTCACCAAGTGCCGCCAGCCAGGCTCCAGCGCTGGGTCAAAGACCACAACGCAGGGACATGTGGGCTGCAGGCACGGAGCATCGCCTGCGTGGTGTGGATCCACTGCCAGAACCAGGGCACAAAGCTGCCACCCCATTCCAGATTAAGCTGGTGACACTGTGGGGGGCCCAGCTGGGCACTGGGATTCTCTGCCCCTTCACAGCCCTCTGGGGCTCAGTGCAGGGGAAGCATCTATCCCCTTATCCAGGAGAATCACAAAGCTAATAGCACTGAGGTGGGTGTCCTTGAAGGGTCTCCTGCAGGAAGCACTGGCCATTGGCCAGAGCATTAAGTGTCCCTTAGCTAATCCTGGAGTATTAGCCAGCCAAGCCCATCACGTAGGTACCCCCAGGGAAGCCCTTTTTATTCAAGGAAAGTCAATTCTAAGAAAGTTCAAACCACCTGTACCTTGGCCAGCAGGCTAAGCACTCAGCAAACCCCAGCAGAGGCCAGGAGCAGGCTGTGGGTTAATAATTCAAGGGGAGAGGACCAATAGGGACCCTGGTGGCATGCAGCACTGCAGGTGACCCAGGGGAGCAGAGGGCTTCTTGGGGAGCAAATGTGTCCCTAAAACAGGACCAGGTCTTCCAGCCATCCCTGACACCCATCTCGAACCTCTCCTGGGCTGGTGTCTCATTTATGGGATTTCATGTTTCCTCCAGCATTCCTAGGGCTGAACAAGCAGAGCTGGAAAACTGAGCCAGAAACAGCAAAAACAGAGCTGAAACAGAGCAGAGAGCTGCACACTCAGTGCATTGCCTTCTGCCCATGCTTGAGGCATCCATATCCCAGGATGTTCCCACCATGGCTTCTCATCCTGCACTGCCCTATGCACATTCACCTCCCCAGGGATGTCCAGGCACACTTTCCCTTCCAATACAGAGTGCTGCAGTCGGGCTCATTAGTGACCTGGAGGCTGCACACAGCATTTACATAGCTAACGAGGTAGGGGGGGTGAACTTCAAAGTTCAGCACACTGCTGCTTCCAGCACCTTCCTGAGCTTTTTATAGAGCAGGGGTGCCATTCACAAGGAAGTTTGCAAATAATTATGAATAAGGAGGAAGCGTGAGGGTTTGACACTGTGCTCGTGAAGATTTTATGAGCAGAAAAAGGGCTGATGGTTGGGAAGAAAGGAGGCATGGGGACATCTTGTTCCTTCTGTTTCCCAATTTGGGGCACTTAGCATCCGTTACCTGGGCTGAGCTTTGCCCTGTGCTGTGGCTGGCCCTGCTGGGTGAGGCACACACGTTCTTAGCAGCAGGTATATCAGCTCATCGCCCCATGAGGTCTGACTCTGCACTGAGTCACTGGGAGATTTCTCATCAATTTCTCCCAGATCTGCATCACGCCAGCAGAACCCCCTGGCACGCTCCATCCCTGCATAACATTGCCTCCAAGCATGGCACGGCTCCTTCTGAGCACCTTCATGCCGCGGCCGATGGCTGTTTATACAAGGGAAGACAGAGGGAACCTTAATTTACAGCCCTCTGATGATTTACAGCGCTCGCAATGAAGCTCTCTGTATTTATAGCCCACGCATTCATTTCCTATTCCCACAGCGTGGAGAGGGGTATAACCCATCCAGACTGATTAATGTACAGTTTATTGATTCCAATAAAACATTTCACCCTTATCTATGTCAAACCCACCTCTTGGTTTATGTAAAGGCAGCCTGGGCAGGCGCCGTGGGTTTGAATTCAGCTGCACGCTCCCATGTGCAGAAACCCCAGGGCTGGGGGGGTTTGCAGAGGTGTCCCATATAGCCAAGGGGGTTTTGCTCCCACCAGCCCTCTCTACCTCCACGTGCAGGGAACAACAGCTGGTTCATTTGTCCCTTTGTATGCATTTAATCTAAGAGATACAAAGTGCTCAACAGCTGATTTTTCCAGAATTCAATCACTCCGTTGCTGTGTGACTCAATCAGGGGAACTTTCCTGCCCTCATTACATCTCACTCCCTTCATCCAGAGGTGTTCTTATGTCTTCCTCCCCTCTTTCATTTTCCTTCCCACCTTTCCCAGAAAAAAACTGAGATTTCTGGACCTACAAATCCCACAGAAGCTGTGGGCTCCCATTCAATGCGTATGAGGAGGGGGTGCAATTTTCCTAAAGAGTTATATTCAGTGCTTAAAATGGATCAGGAAATGCCACCCTGCCTCTCCCTCCTTCTTGCAGAGCAGAGCTCGCTGCTTTCCACCTCCCGGGATGCTCAGCCCCACTGCAACCCCTGCTCCCACCGGGATGACCACAACCCCAGCATCCAGCACAGTCTCACAGCAATTTTCACGCAATTTCCAGAGCATGGGGCCTGGGGATGGGGCAGAGGAGCAGGGGATAGGACAGTGAGGACGTGGGCACCGCTGCGCATTGCCGTGCCCAGACCCTTCAGCATCATGCAGTCACTGTGCGTCTCTTGGCTATCACATCCCCAGCACCATGCACGGGGACAACCCAATGCAGTGATGCCAGGAAACCAGAAGCAAGCCAACAAATGAGGCATTTAACACCATTTTCAAACAGGGAGCCCCGGACAAGTGGGAGAGAGAGAGGACCGCCATCGGTCTGGGAACCTCGGAGAGGAACATGAAAGGGCACGAGCAGGGCAGGACAAAGGCCCTTCCCGCATCTCTCCTCAATGCCAAAGGAGCCGGCAGCATCTCCATGACAAAGCGAAGTCCGTGTCAATTTGGGCTGGCCCCGAGGGGGGACTGCCCACCGCCTTTGAAGTGGGCAGTGGGGCGGCCGCGGGCGGAGGGCTGCGGGGCACAGACACTTCCACCTCCCCCCACCCCGCCGGGGTCAGGAGTTCAGCAGGGACAGGACCCCGGGGTCAGGGGACAGGGTACAGGGACAGGGGACAGGGGATAAGACAGAGGGACAGGGGATGGACATGGGGACAGGAGATAGGGCACAGGGACAGTATGGCTGCCCAGTGCCAGACACAGCTGTGTGCCATGCAACACCCAGAGCACCCACACGCACCCTGCACATGGCACCGTCCCCGATGCACTGCACCTTGCATGCACCCTGAGCACACAGCATCGCCCCTATGTGCTCGCTGACTCTGTGCAGTGAGCTGTGCACATGCACTGCTTGCAGCACCCGACACACACAGCACAGCACTCCTCCAAAAGGAGCACCCCACCACCATGATGATGAGCCTGGACTATCCTGGACTGGCCATGAGAAGGACTTCCCATATGCAGAGCAGAGTTCTCATTCTGACTGCCAGCAGAACAGGGTCACCCGCACACCAATGCTCTCCATGCCCATCCTCAGTCCATGCCACCTCGCCAGCCCCACAGCTCTCCCCTTTGGGGTCGGTCCCAGAGCAGGATCCAGCCCTGCAGGACTCCAAGCTGAGAGCTCCCATGTGGAGGAAGGAATCCAGATGTAGGGCTGGGGGTTTCCTTACCGCTGTTGCTGGTGCTGGGAATACTGCGCCTCATCCATTCGTACGGGGTGCGCCTCTGTGCATTAGGGGACAGCTGTGGCACCGAGCTGCTGATGGCTGGAGGCAGGAGTCCAGAGCCCGCATGGGGCTGCATGGGGTTAAAATCCGGGGGGCTAAATCCAAACTGCCCCGGGTTGGTGGTGGCGGAGGCGGCAGCAGTGCCGTACGAGTGCCAGTCCTCCTTGGCAGGGGTGTAGGGTGAGCCCCAGGCGGCCGCCGGCTGCCCATGGTGCGGGTCGTTGTTAATCCCTGGCACATGGTGGTAGCTGGCGAAGTCCGAGTACTGGGGTGGCCCCGGCACGTAGTTCTGGGGGTTGAGGTTGAGGCTGGGATGCCGGACGGGACTGGGATACATGTTGGTGTCCTTATCCAAAAGATAGCCTACATACATCTTCTCTACCTGGCTCTGCGCTCATGCTGTGCCGATGCGCTGCGCTGTGCCGCTCTGTGCCGAGGCGGCCGGGTGTCACGCAGCGGCCGCCCCTCCTTCCCTGCGCTCACCTGGGCGCCTTGGGGAGCTGTGTCCCGGGGCCAGGCACCTCCCTGCCCACAGGCTTTTATTGGGCCCAACCTCTCACAGCATTTGCATTGAAAGGCAGGGTTGCATTTCAAAGTGCAGGAACCCCGGCGGTGCGGGGCGATCCGAACCTCCCACCGCCCCGCGTTCCCTCTGTGGTCACCAGCATGGGCTGTCCCTGTGCCACCAGCTGTGGTTCCTTTATGCCAGCTGGTTTTGGGGACAGTGTGGCACAGCTGGTATTGTGTTTGAAGATGCCCCAAAGGAGGTCACCCTGTCCCTAAAGCCTTGTGCTCCAGGAGAAGGGCAGCTTGGGCTGAGCCCTCACATCAAATCCTGGCTGAAGGACTGAATCACCCATGAACTGCTGAATGGAATTGCCCCATCAACCTTGCTTTCCCCTGCATCTGTCTGTTTTGGAAACGGGGTTGGTGGGAACAGGTGGCTCTGGGTCCCCCTCCATTTATAACATCTGGGGGCAAACCCATCCCTCGAGCCCAATAGCCAAGTTCAGCCCAGCCACAAAAAGCAGGATGGACAGACAGACAGAGTCAGACACAGTGATCCTTACGGGTCCATTCCATTGGGATATTCTATGATTCTATGGATGCATGCCCCAAAAGCACGTCTGTCCCCAAGCAGAAGCCATCCACTTGTCATCAGGCAGGTCAGGCACACCTATGCTCCAGAGGGGGTGAAGGACTGAGGTCACCTCTGTGCCATCACAGCACATTGCTAGTCACCTCTGCATGGTCCCAGTGTATGCTGAAGGGAAGGGAAGGGAAGGGAAGGGAAGGGAAGGGAAGGGAAGGGAAGGGAAGGGAAGGGAAGGGAAGGGAAGGGAAGGGAAAGAGGATTTAAGATGCAATTGAGAGAAGAGGATAAAACAGCAAACTTTCACAGTTTTTTTGCAATTGTAGCTATGAATCTATGGAGAGGTTTGAAGGTAGGATTGCTTTCCAGATTCATGGAGTTAAAAGGAAAATGGTAACAAAGCCAGCAAACTTTGCTGTGTTTGAGGAGCTCAGTGCATGCAGCACACAAGCACTTCCCTGCTGCTACTGGGCATGTCCCAGCCATAGCTGGGCTGTGGGTGCAGGGCTCCATGGGTCCATGAGCACCCTACCTGCACTCTCCTGCAGCAGGTGAAGGGCTCAGCACAGAGCAGCACGGCCAGGTGCCTGCTAGCAGCGTGCCACCAGCTCCAGGGTGGACAGGAGATGACAATTGGGCCATAAAGATCCACCAGAGATAACTTCCCTCTTTTCTTCCTTTTCAGCCTGTATATTGCCAGAGGGGATTGTGACTGGAAAAAGTGGTGCCAGGGAAGAGCCTTTCATGGCTGTGAGTGGAGGGTGGCCCTGCAGAGACCCTGTGACCACTGTCTCCAACAGGGGGGCCCTTTGGTGTTCAGCTTGGTGGGACATCATCCGCACTGGGGTCCCACAGGAGAGCAGGTCAGGGGCAGCAAAACCGCATGTGGACCCTCTGCACCCATCCAGAGACCCTCAGCACCAACTCAGCCGGGGGGGCTCCTTCCAGCCCTCCCCACCTGAGATTCCCGGTGGAAACCGAACTGATGCAGGGAGAAGAGGAGCAGCCAGGATTTCCCCAGGGCTCGGCACTGCTATCCATGATCGAGTGATGCCATCTCCTGGAAGCAGGAGGGCCAGAAAGGGAGGTTCCCAGGGCCAGGCTGTCAGGAATGGAACTCTGCAGGGCAGAGTACGGCCCCTGCTCCAGGGAGGAGGCATTCCCCACAGGAAGCCAAGTCCTGCATTGCACCTGGCTTGTTGAAATCTCTGCTGTGGTTTCAGCAGGATGGGGAGATGTCTGAGGAGGCAACATGGTGTCGCAGCAGTGGTTGGAGGTGGGGGAAACTCACTCCTTCCTCCTGGTTCAGGCTGTCAGCAGAGGGTTAACGATTCCCACATTAAGTGGCTGCAGATGTGTGGGAAAGTCTGGGACGAGTGGACTCGCTGCTATTAGTATTCACCCCCCAGCCTGCTGCTGCCTCCAGAGCTCTGTGCTGCACATTTAATACCGGGGCTCATCGTGGGGTGAGGAAAGTGCGTGGGATAGAGGCGGAAAGTCTGCGAGGAGGGGAAGCAGTGGGGCAGCATCCTCTGCCACTGCCTAATCACAGTGCCTGAACCGCCTGAACCCCAGGGAGGTGACAGACAGTGGTTGTAGGAACACAACACTGCACCTCCACTACATCAGAGTGAGTCATAGAATCATAGAATCGTTTGAGTTGGAAGGGACTTTTAAAGTCTATCTGGTCTGACTCCCCTGCAATGAGCAGGGACACCTACAGTCCATGCAGCTTGGACTGAGTGTCCCCAGGGATGGGGCTCTGAGCACTGATGGAGCTGTGGGTGTCCCAGCTCATTGCAGGGCAATTGGACCAGATGGCCTTTGGAGGTTCCTTCCAACTCAAACAATCCTATGATTTTATCATCTGCTGCTTCTTCCTTACCTGCCTCCCACCTGTGGGCACAGGGGACTCATTGCTGACTCTGCCAAATGACCTGGCTCAAGTGGCCCTTCTTATGCTTTTTCTGGGGTTTCCATCTCAACCTGTGATGGAGGTCACAAAGATGCTGTGATCCTGGTGATGCCTGAGCAGTACAAACCTCACGAAGCATTCCTCTCCCTCGTTAGCACTAACGCTGCTTATCTGGCCTTGCTGCAGTCTGCGAACCCCCACAGAGAGCAACTCTGGCAGCCTCCCCTGCAGCTGTCCCAGCCCCGGGGGAACCACTAAGTCCTGCAAGTGCCACGAACGGAGGTGCAGGAGCCCAAAATAGAGGTGAGCAAAGCAGGGGTCAGCGAGCCGCTCCCCTCCACCCACACGCTCACAGGCGCGAGTCCCTCCGGCGTTGGGGCTTCCTTTGGGTTGGCCTTTCCCAGGAGCTGCCGTGACCCCAAACTCAGCGCCAGCCCTGGCTGCTGGCTGGGGACGTGCAGCACCGTGTGCTCGCAGCATCCCAAAGCATCACTCTTCGACCCTGGCTGATTCCTGGCAATATTGAGTGGCCGCGTTTTTCACAGGATCGTCCATTTGCAGGCAGGAGAAGGGGGATCTGCGTGACCTGTTTGTGCCTGGAGCCCATCCCCAGCACAAAGGACCCAGCAGGATTTCACCATCAGGTTTTTCCCTCTTCTGTTCCGAGAATGGGGTTGTTGTCGGGAAATGGCTTTGCTGAGCTATTCCCAGCAGAACACGTGCCTCCAAGGAGGGACCCACCCTGCATGTCCTTATCCCTTGAGAAGAGCCTCACAAAGAGCCACATGCCCATATGAGCCATCTCTTGGGCACTCTTCTGCATGGCAAAGTGCCAGCATGGGCTCTGAGCCCCACCAGAACACGGATCCCCATTGAATGCCAATAATTGAGGACAGATCCCCACTGAATGCCAACAACTGAGGATGCCAGGATCTCCTTGCCCTCTGCCAAATGAAAGAGATTTCCAAAGAAAACCCCTCCAATTGGCTGCTCATCAGTGAAGATTGAGGGCTGAGATAAGTGGAGATAAGCAGCAATCTCCAGGGCTGGGCAATCATTAGCTGTGCCTATTGTGCTGTGTTGGACCAGCAGGATGGAAGGGGATGGTGCCTTGCAAACAATCCAACCTCAGATCTCAGCAGTGCTGTCTGTACAGGAAGGGCTTTTCATTCTTGGAAGAGAAAAAAGGAGAAAGAAGGGCATCTTCTCAGGAAAACTCATTCATGAGAGATGCTGCATTTTCACAGTATTTTTATACTTGGATCAGAATAAAGCACATCCCCAAGCCAGAAACAAGACAAGAACGGGTGGTTCAGAAGACGGTTTCCATTCAGAAGGTCTCTATACTTTGTCAAAAAGGCAAAGCAAATTGCTAAAAATCCCAGTGCAGACAAACTATATTTGTGTCCATCAAGAGATTGCCAGAAAATTGATTTTAGCTCACCAAAGCGTGTGGAGGGATCTGTGCAGATACATTACCATGCACATCATGGGCATTCAGCACAAGGGTGCTGAGGGGATGGGATGGCCAAGGCAGAGGTGGGAGCTGTTAGGTACAACAGAGAGATGTCAAGATGACTGGACTCCTTCCTGGGGCACAGAGCAGCACAGGACACATCCATACCCCTAAGCACCCACATAAACCCCATCCAGCCACCACCAACCCCACATCCCCAGCATCCCACACCAGGGCATCCCAGTTGCACGTTATCTTTTATTCCCCGTTCCAAAAACAACCAACCCACCACTCCAAGGTCCCCCAGAGGACGCTCCTCCAGGAACACTGTTGGCAGGCGTTGGTGGTCCCAATGCCTGGCTGGGGGCTGTGGGGCCGAGGGGGGGCAGTGCTGGCCCGGCCAGGGCAGGAGTCCGGAGGGAATACACGGAGTCAGTTCGGCACAGGCCTTCTTTAATAAAAACATGAGTCAGCTGCTGGCGTGGGCAGCAGATTTTCTAAACATCCCCTCATATCCTGAGAAAGGAATAAAAAAAAAA